TGCTAGTTCCCTCTTTATCCAGGCACTGCTTTGCCGCACCTGTGTCCAGCCGCTGCCGCTTATGTGGCGGTGGGGCCATCTCTTGTTGCTCAGAGCCGTCTGTAAGTGAACGCACCTCACGGATGACTTGCAATGCAAGCGTAGGCGCTCGCAACAGACCAGACGTGAGTCCTCCGACAAAGCCAGGAGGCATTGATTGCCTGTGGCTGACCCTTCGGCGAAAGCCCAACTTCGAAGTGCACTGTCTCGCCAACGTAGTGACCAACAAATTCTCTGCCTCGAGCAGATAGCTTTGGCTACCCACGAGATCTCAACGGCAAACTGTCCTTTCCGAGTGGCCGTGCATAAACGTGTCGCAGCCGTACAAACCCTTGACCTCCTGGCCGGGAGGGAATGTCGAGTGTCTCGGCAAGCTGCACAGGCAACCAGAACCCTGCTGGCGAGGCAATGACAACAGTGAAAAAAGCCTTTCAGAGTCTGCTTCAGCACCTCAGGCAGCTATTCCTGGATTCCCGAAGTCAGTTTCTGTCTGCACTCGGTACCTCGCAGTCGATGAAACCATAGTTATTGCCTCAGGCATCATTCCCGCTTGCACCAGCAAGAGGTATGCACTCACAACAACGACATCACCAAGCAAAGCCGAGAGTCTATCATTGAATGATTTTATGAATCCTCAGCTGGCAGCACCTCCCCGGACAACGAGGAAGGAAGCTAAAACTTGGACCACGGTTTGAAAGCCCACAGCGGTGCAGGCTGCCAGTCCCTGCATAAAGACTGCAGTATGATGTGACGTTTCCAACATTCGACAAGAGTCCACTGGTCATCATCCCACTTGGGACAGGCCTCGCAGACCCTGCACCGGAAGAACTTGTGATATGACATGTCCGCACAGGCCATTTCGGCTAGGTTCCAGCTGCGAAGGCTGCACCTTTCAAGCCAGATCTACTGGTCCAGGTGCATGTTTCTTGCGCAGGAGTTGGTATGAGTTGGTGTAACATTGAAGGGCAGGAAGCAAAAGGAGCACGCATGGGCCAAGAGATTTCACATCTCCAATCGTTTCACAGTGTCAACTGCGGGACTCCCAGATCAGTGTGTTGCAGGTGCATCCCTTGCTTTGCTGCGCCCCATTCCTGGACAGTTCCCTTTAAGAACGTTCACATCTACGTAGGTGTGCAGCGCGCTCTGGCTTGCAGCTTAACAGACCTGGGCTGGTGACGGCTGGGTGTATACTTTGTCGGACTTCTGCAGATTCTCCGTGCTTCATTAAAGTGGGTCGCTGTCGGGCCTGAGGCTAAGTTGCTCCCTGCTCCGACGCTTTGCAGTACTGGCATTATGGGTGTTGAGTTGGCTCTCTGATGTGTCAGCCAGCATGCTTGCGTGCACCTTCTTAAATTGTTTGGCCCTTGCAGGAGGATCAGTTCAGCGTTGTCAGCCAGATGCGTATCTTTCGCCATCCTGTCACCAGGTTGACGCCGTGGATTTTCGCACGAAGGTCCATAATAAAGGACCATGTTGCACAAAAGGAATGGGGCAGTTCTTCTTCTGCGGAAATGTAATACTGTACTGTGAATGGTGACATCTACCGACGTTGTTAATTGGACTGGCAAGTGTCAGTATGCACCCGTCCGTGGGTGCCAGCACCCGGAAACTTCCCAGGCGTGGCCAGATCAGTCCCGTGCTGCATAACACCAGTGAGGGTTTGTTTACACTCTCACAACTCGGACAAGCCAGGCGAGGATCCATGTTCGACAGTCGGCGTGAAAAGCAGGGGAAGTCAGGATGCCTTCAACTACGCAAAGAGCTCAACAGACCCCACCCCACCTAAAGAGGGCTTTAAGTCCTAAGTCTCGGCCTGCAGGAGATTGGCGAGGTAAGGAGAGCTCGCTTCCTGGCATGTGTTGGCCTTCCGCACCGAATCCGTGCGCCTGCACTTTCACCTGTCAGCGAATGCACGTTGCTCAGCTAGGTCAGGGAGGCTGGTGACAATGACCAGCAACCGACCGGTCTGAAGACGGAACCGGCTGAGGGACCTGAGCCCGCGCGGCCCAGACTTCCTCCGGCGCAAGATCGACCTGCATTGCACATTGCACTCAATGCCACACAACAAGAGCTCTAAGTCATGCTGGTCGACTTGTTGTGAGAGATCTGGCGGCATAGGCGACCAGTCTTGGCCACACTCGGCCATGTCAGAAGCATTCCTGGTAGCCACTCAACTCGCACGCAACCTCTGCCGCTCCTAGCGCAAGCAAGCTTCGGCATGCCCTGCGCGTTGAGAACCAAGTTGAAGCCTACAGCTCCCAATCCACGTTTGGCTAACAGCCTGACTACGGTGTCTACGTAGCAGAACTTGTGGTGCCAAGAAACTAACCCTCTGAGCAGGTGCGACAGAGCAAGCCAGGTCTTTGTGTACATAGACATCACCTTGAGAGCAGATGAGTTCATGAAACAGCTAGAGCTCTACTGCTCAAGGTCTTCCGAGGTATCTTCACTGCACTGCACATCCCGGTGGCGGCCGAAGAAAGCTTTCACAACATCGCTTTCTATGAAGCCATACCCCAGGCTCCCGCGTTTGAAGACACCGCTCCTTGCAAGCGCAAGGTCAAGAGGTGGCTACCCAGCTCATGGCAGACCCACTCACGGATTCTCACAACCCGAAGCACAAACTCCCAGAAGCTTTTAAGCCTCGCAACAGCGCATATGCGCCATCCACGAAACACCTGAGTCGCAGCATTGGATGCGATGCCTCGCAGGGAAACAACCACACCGAAACACTTTTGACGACACCAGCCATCAGACAGAACATGAGTATGCTGCACCTGCGGAAGCCCTTTGTTGGAAACGTGGATGAAGAAAGCAACTACATCACCAGGTCCGGCGACAGCAGAATGTAGAACATTCTCGAAAACATACACGTCCTGGCTCATTGCGCTCAAACGCAAAACGCTGAAATCGCAAGTCTTCAGTTTGGCTTTCCCCATTCATGGGAATTATCACAAGCACAACACCCGACCACAAAGCAAAAGATTTGCCCGCTGCCTGCCCACAACTTGCTTTCACATCAGGACAGTAGATGAAACCGGACCGTCTTGCCTGCACATCCGGGAGGAATGGCAACTTGCAAAAATAAAACAAAGGCAAAATCAGAAGCAAACGGTCGCATGCTGCGGCGGAGATGCTGGGTTGTAGCTTTTGACGAGACCCCAGTAGACCTCAGTGACGGGCCAGCTGTGGAGCAAGCACATTATATCCCCAGCTCAAGTAATGAGCCGGTATGTTACTTCTCATGCTCGACATTGCAGCCACACCATGCTCCGTCTGCATGACTCTTGCTTGGACAGCTGGAAACTGAGTACCGTCTTGCTCCCAGGCTTATTCGTCTTGCGTGCTCAGTTCCAGCTCTCCGCACAAGCTGCCATCTGAAATCATATTAAGTCAGAGCACCTGCTCCCCAGCCTGCCTTTTTTGGGCGGCTTGCCGAACATCACGGCCTGACCGTGACGCAGGTGACGGCAGGTCATGTGTCCGAAAAGCTCTGCCAACCTTGCAGGCTGTCATCCGCGGCATCAGCTTCGAAGCTCTGTCTGTCACGCTTGCGTCCGGCGAAAGCTTCAGGAAGGCCAGAAGGCCTCCACATCATGGAGAGACTGGGCTTTGCAGCTCGCCTCAAGCGCGGTCCGCCTGCTTGGAGTTGGCTTCAAGTGGACGGGATTCCAGAGTCTGGGCGGTCTTGCCCTGGGATTTCAATGGGATCGCGCACGGCCATGCTGATCACTCTCAGCCAAGGTGCTGTTCTTTTGGCCTCGCAAAGGCCAGCGGAGGTGGCTGTCGTGCATCTTGAATGGAACCGGATGCACCTGAACTTGACAGCAACTGGCTTGTTGATCACTGCTATATTATAGTTCCCGCGGTGTGGAATCAACCAGGCCCTCCCGTGCTTTCAAACTCTCTGTATCGCTTTCCATCACCTCCAACGCCCCGCCTTCACGGGCCTCTTCCACAACAGACTCGTCGAACCCGATCGCCGCAAGCCTTGCTGCTCAGTCAGACAGGCACTCACAGAGAACAATCCCTTCGCTGCGTCCCAGGAGCTGGTACGCCATTGTATGCCAGGCAGGTTTGGGCTAGCGAAGGATTCCATGAATGCACCGCGGCATATCCGCGTGGTGCCGAAATGCAACGGATGGCATGACTTCTTAACCAAATGCACCTGTGTAAGAGTGATGTGTTGAAATGCAAAGCAGAAGCCAGTTGGCATGTGTTCTATCTTTGCCTGGGGATTTCAATCTATGTGAACTGTCAAGTCGTATGTTACATCTCGCCGCTTATCGGAGCATGGTTTGACAGTGGGCCGTTCAGAGTTAAGAATTCCTGTCTCGTGTCATGTCAAGTCGACTTGGGCCACGTTCTCGACTCGGCACAGATCGCTCACAGCTGTGCAACTGTACATCTCCAGATCAAGTGGAGCGGTTCCGAAAACCTCCCTTCAATCCTTTGACGCTACTGTAACAAACCCATGCGTAATTATGCTGCACACAGCTCTCTCGCGGCTGACTGTCCCTTCTGCGCGGCCCTTTGAGTCCACCTTATGCTTTAAGACCTCGCACGTGCCCTTGCGTGTTTCAAGTCCTTGTGCAGGAAACCCTTGTTTGCTGAGATTCTCTTCCACCGAACCGATTCGCTACTTACCGTGAAGGCTACGAAGCAAAAGATGCTGTGGAAAGGCCCTATTCTTGGCAGTAGAGCCCAGAAGATGGGCTGGGAAGACTCCAATAGATCGGAGCGACAAACTTGTCCCTTGGGCACCCATTGAATGTCGTACATCCTTGTGGCTCACCGGGAACCGCAATCATGCATGCACTGAGTCATTCCCTGATGCTTGCTATTGGTACGGGAATGCTCGGAGTGCTTTGCAACACTGGCTTATCCAAGGGTCAGTGGGGAAAGGCGATTACATATGTGCTGGACAGACAGACATGCAGGAAGCTGTCTGAGGTCAAGGCGAAATCATCAAGACTCACGAGTCTGTTGTCCTCATCTCAAAGCATCCCTTCGCAGCATCAAGCCCAAACAAGAAAACCAACTTTGGCGATGTACATCCAGCATACAAGAAGAAGAGACCGGGCATTCCCAGCAACAAGACCACTCGCGACGGAAGGCGGGGAGTGGAAGCTCTGCCCGAAACCATGTGACACAGGTGTCTGGAGCTGGTTCGATCTAGAAAGCCAAGAAGGCGGAGACCTTCAAACACAAAGAAAGGCATTGCGACCCGAATGGGCGCAAGTTGCAGTAGCCTAACTCTGCCGAACACTTCAGGCCACTCCTCGGGCAACTCGGCCAATAGGACGTGAGACACCAGGCGCAGGTTTGCATCAACCTGAGTGGCAGGGTCAAGCCAGGAGTCTGCACATGGCAATTAGAGCAGCTTCTTTCCAGCCCGGTCCCAGGGTCTTGCACGTGCGATACGTGCGGCAGCCAGCGGGGCACATCTCACTTTTTACGCTGCAGCATTGATCACTTCTCGGCCGCCCTGGTCTAGCGACATTTCTCATGCCTGATTTGCCTGCATCGAGTCCACGCAGCGCGCGTAGATTGCAGATTCAGTGGTGAACGGTGTGGTGTCGTCGGCTACGACCAAAACGGCACATGCGTGGGATCCGTCACTCGCCCTGCACCTTGCATACCATAGCAACAGAAAAGCAGCCACCATCACAATGTCACATGGTAGCCATCAACACGACAATCTGAAAACATGCCGCCGAACTGGCACTCGCAGTCTACAGACTCTAGTCTCATCTCGCTGACAAGGAGCCACACCCTGACTGTCCAGATAAGCACTTGGAGGGTACTTGGCCGGCCCTCCACCAGCTCCGACTGCAACTGGCATCCTTGTTCCGACACAGTCTACCCAGTCTACCCGGTCTCAGTCTCGGTCTCAGTCTCGTGAACGCTCCTGGTTGCACCAAGCCAAGCATCTTGAAGTCAGCTGTCGCATTGAAGAAGAAAGCAAGGGAGCTTCGCGGATGGTCCTTGCATGTTGCGTGCTGTTCTGCTGGCGTGGCATAGGTCTTGCTAACCTTTCGAGGTCGTTCTGTCAAGAAAAGCCGGTTCGTTCTAAACTAGACAAGGCGCGCTGGCATTCAACACGTAATGCCGTGCGGATTGGAATGTGTCCTTAAAACTTCGATATGCTTTGAACATGGAAGGCCCGGCCTACGAAAAATTGCTTCATCCTAGCGAGTGCACCTCAGCTGTTGCCCAGACTCGTTTGAAACTTGCCGCAGGATTTCCCCAGCATTCACGACCAAAGCCCCCGGCTTCGTAGGAACGCGCACCCACCGCTCCGAGCAAAATGCCCAAACCTGCGAGCCAGCGGGAGAGCAGACAGAAATCAATGCCAGGGCCCCGAGCGTCTCCTGACCGCGACTCAGGGAGTCCAAAGAAGTTTGGCCGACCGGAAGCTATAATCACTGCAAGGACCGGTGCGAGCCGGGGTGAAGGCTGCTGTAGGTTTGGGCATGCGGCTTTCTAGCACTCTCAAAAACTGGCCAAAGTCCGCTAAAATTTGCTGCAGGACCTGCAGGATCCAGCCAGAGCCGGCCGTCCTGCCCTGCGACGTGGGGTTTTTCAAGGAGTCTAGTTACCGTCTCTCCCTCTGTGCTTCACTGAAGTGCACACCTGAAAATGTGTTAGTGGCTACATCTATCTCACCTTCAAGGCAGAATCATCCAGGTATAATGTTCGGGAATGAGACCCGTACAGTGTCTGGGTTGCCCTGGGCACATAATGTGCCGACAGTCTCACCTCGCCCTACGGAATCAAAAGCAGCTGCTAATGAAACCAAGGCACGACCAGGCTAGACTCAATCTCAGACCGGTGCAAGATCGTAAAGAAGGATGTGTCGACGTGCGGTGCAATTCCGTACTGGCCATCCTCGTAGCCTTGCGAGGGATGCACAAGGCAGGAGGGACCTAGCACTCCCACACCGTCTCCATCACTAAGGCGGGCCTGAACAGGCAGGATACCTTGACAGCCTCAGCCTCCACAATGGAGATCGAAATGCAGGATTCAAGTACGAATCGGCTTCGCCTAGAGCTGCAGAGAGAAATGGCAGCAATTTGCAAGCCAATTCCTCCATGGCTGCTGCATACTGCTCCACCGCGCTCCTCCATGCTATCCCAAGCTCACAGGGCCAGGGCATATCTTCCAATCGAATGTTTCTTGGGCCATGCTCACGCTTGACGATGAAGGCCTCAACCACGTTTCCTCTCGGCCTTCGTGGAAGCTTCCGGCTATGCAGCGGCAGATAACCAGTACCGGAAGGAAACCTTCCCTGGTCCATTGTATACTTTTGCTTGACTTCACAAGACAAGCTCCCAAACTCTTCAATAAGTCGCGTCCCGGCATCCAAGACATCCTGCTCGATGCCGTGGTTTGCCAGAAAGAAGAACCCGACCTTTTTACAGGCATCGCGCAGTCTTGCCACAAAGCCTTCGGGGTCTTCGTGACATGTGGCCCAGTCGATGGTCGGAATTTCGTCCTCGGACGCGGTAGGAATGGCATCCAGGCAGCTGGGAGCGGCCCAGCCGATTGCTTCCTTCTGTAGTGATGCTTCCTTGGCTTCCGCGTTGAAGAACCCTGTATCAGCATTTTCGCCAGCTCGCACCGGGCTTCGGCTTCGCGCGGAGCTTCGTGCAATGGAGGCACGATCAGTTGCCGCCTCGAGAAGGCGACCTAAGGCCCCTAAACCAACGGCCGCTCCGTCTGCTCGCAGAGAATATTCCTCAAGGATCTCTCCTGATAACCGCTTGCTGCCTTCGCAGCCGCTTCGCCGCAACACAGTGTTCAAGCAATCACCCAGCTCGCCCAGAGAAAGCAGGCCATCTTTGTCGGCATCAAACTCTTGCAAGCAATCTTCTGCTGACGGCAGCCGAAGTCTGCTCAGGGCCATGGCAAAAGACTACTACCCGAGGATTCCTTCATGTTGTCTTCAATCCGAGAATGTTGTTGCGATGCGCATCTCCTCGTGACACTGGGTTCTGTGGATGGCTCTTGTTGAATGGCCGAGTGCGCCCCCCGATGTACCATCAGCATGCTCTTCGGAAATCACCTCAGACCATGCGACTGTGAACTTTCAAGCGATACAGGTATCACTTTTTGCAGCTGTTCCTGTCAACTGCACGGCCTGCAAGAGATGTTTGCACTGCACTGCTTTGCACCAAATGAAGCTCGCTTCGAAGCCAGGTGCAGAAGCAGGCAATCTAACGGAAACGACGAAACCAACCGTCAATCATTCACCAGGCTGGCTTCGAGAACTCTATCTTGCTCGTCGCACAAGTGGAGCTGATATACAGGGGAATGGCTGAGGGAGCCAGGGCATGACTGCTCAACCCAAGCGAGGTGAAGGACGTTCGAGTAGGAGGTGATCAAGGGTTCGGATTCAGCTCATCCATTTGCTCTTTAAGAGACTGCTTGCCTTGCTTGCACTTTCACAACTACAGTATCACAAGAGGGGTTGAGACGTGTCACCGGTTTGAAAAGCAGTCTGGCTAAGCCATCACTGGATACGGCACCCATCAGAACAGCAAACATGGTGCTCCACGCGCACTTGGTCCAACTCCTCCTCGCACTGGTCGCGGCATCCACATATATACGAAGGGACGAAAGACGACAGCGTAGTCATCGTAGCTATCAGAGCTATCATTGCTTGGGATGGGACCTGCATTTCCCGGTGCAGCAGGATATCTGCTTGCACCGACTACCGACCCAAGGACCACTGAAGGAGGCGACTTCAGCAGTCCTGTGCGCACGGCACTTCCACGTGGGAAGAGACGTTGATGTCCTCTTCCACCAGGCCGTTCCTGGCTTTGCGGGTTTGCGGCAAACGGAATGCCCCAAACACGTCAGGCCTGGATACAGGCTGCGCGTTGAGGATGGGAGACTGGCCTAACGCGAACATCTCTCGGCAGAAAGTTTGCGGTAATTGCGTGGGCCTTTGCGATCCCTTGATCTGAGAAGCCAGACCCACGCTTGTTCTGATGGCAAGCGGTTTGCTGCGCTTCCGAACACCATTCTCCTGCAAGCCGCCATGTGTTTTGTGCGCACGTCAAGAAGTGGGACGGATTGATCTCTCCTCTTTGTCAATGTGCGAATCAATCACCCGAGCCTCAACCGGCAGATCGATTCCCGGATCATGCTCCGCTTGTTCTAAACATCGTATGGCTGACACCAAGCAAAGCCGAGAGGACCGCATACCTAGTTTTGGAGCTATGACCATATAGGCCACTCCACCCAAGAGATCCAGAGTGGAGTCGGAAGATTAATGTAAACCTGGACCGACGAGTAGGAGCCGACTCTCGGGAAAAGGAAGACCGGATTGCGGACTCAGGAGCAGCAGCATCCGCATGATGCTGCTTCACATCTCCGTAGCCACCTCTAAGATATTCGATCCACTCCTGCACTGGTTTCGGCTCTCACAGTAACAAGCAGACCCTCAATGCAGGCCTCATAGGAGATTTTTCCATCATGCTTGAGATCAGCCTCGTCCCTCCGGTCACATGCTTCGCCAATCGAGCGGCGTCAGTTTAAGGGCGTGCTGCAACTTGCAAATATTCATCCAAGCTGCAACAGCGTCTGCACCTCGTTGCCTTCAAAGGTTTCACCCAGCACCTCCTTGAGGTTGTCTACCTTCAGATTCGTCTCAGATAGACTGCAGAATCACGGGCACTGCATCGAAGCCTAAAGGTTCCCGGACAAGGCAACCCTAGATTGGGTGGAGCCCAAGAGTCAGATCCTGAACTCGCGGTCACTCGCGCATACTTAGACATGATCCAAACCCGGTCCGACAAACCTGCGTGCTCACGAAGGAATGCTTGCACCCGTGGAGCCCTTTATATCCCTTTATCCTCATAGCATGTGAAATTCATCTTCCGCCGAAGCGGCTGTGATGAAACCGGAGTTGTCAGTGTCAAAGCGACGGAAGGCCACCTGTCGCAAAGGGACTTCGGTCCCGTCGCGGAAAGACAGGCCCGCCCCCTTAGGCCCGAATGCCCGACAACCTTTGGTTCTGTCTTCGCGTTGCGAGGCAGTACAGCAGAACAGAAATCTTCCCGCACAGGTCCATCAAGTGCCCCAAGCAGCCACAGGTACTCGCACTGCACTTGCATTCACATGTTGGCTCCACCCCCCAGATCAACCGCCCAGTTTGCCATGCAATGTTTCTGGTTCACCGTTTGTCGTGTCTACATGGACGACGGGCCGAATGGTGCTGGCACACATGTCATGTCCAGGGCAGACAGTGTTGCGGTTGCCAGATGTCTGCATCGCGGTGCCGGCACGGTAGATGATCTGATGTTATAACTGTCTAAACTTTATCTC